TAGAGTGTATTCATGCATAGCTATGTCATATGACATACATTATTGTTTGTTTTATTGAATTATATCATTTTCAGTAAAAAGTAATATAATTAAGTATTGGTCAGCATTTATCGTTGGTATTATTGTATGTTTTGGGTGGGATAGCAATGCAATACATTCTGGGGTAATATTATTTTTTAATATTAATGATACGGGTATAAAAGCAACAGTTTTCTCCAAAGGTGAATCTTCACACAGCTGCCCAACGTCTCCTTTGTGCAGACATTACAAACGCTGAGGAAAACCGTTCTAGGTAGGGCTGTCGAATTACTGATGTAATGAGGTGTGTATATATATATATACTGTATATATTATGTATGCAATATATATATATATATATATATATATATATATATATATATATATATATCATATTATGACATCAAACCCATGATATATATAACCCATATATCATGGGTTTGCATATAACATGAGATGTTATACAGAGGAAAAAAGAACCTACAAGGTTGAATATCTTAATATATATATTTTCTTAAATAATTCATTAATACATTTAAAAAAATCTTTTTTTGTTATTTATAGGCCTGAGGGATGAAACGAGAGTTAAATTCAACAAGAAAAAGCAGTAAGCCCCTTTTGCCTGTGGATGAAAATGTTTGGATATAAAATAAAGAAATGAACAACATATTCAAGGGATGACGATTTGGGGGTTTCTTAATAAAAAATATATATCGGTATAAGGTTTACTGTGGGTCACATTAGTAGGATTTAAAATATAACAACTTAAATCAACCCTAAATGTATTCACAAAATAAATGGGCAGCTGTTTCTTCAACAATACCACAAAATGAGCAAGTTTCACCAATATCAAGATATTTACAGATAGATGAATTAAATATTTGAAGTTGTTGAGCTTATGATAACGCGTCGTAGGTCACATGATAACGTCAACATGGCGGATGATGTCCGGATCGCATTCATACTCAACGAGATTTGGCTATAAAGTACCTACTCTTTTAGCGCTCGTTAAGTAAGTACTTTTTGAAATTAAGTACCTACTCATTGAGTATGCGGTTTCGGACGCAGCCACAGTGTGGGACACCGTGCGGGAAGAGGACCTCTAGTGGTTACCCAGGAAACACAAACCAGACACTGTGACAAGAAGGTCTGGCTACGGCGAAACTAAAATCGCAGCAGCTGGAGTCTTTACAAGAACCAGGAAGTATGACCATATTAGCCCGGTTCTGTCAACACTGCGCTCCCTATTAAACATTGGATACATTTTAAAATCTTGCTAATTACTTACAAAGAACTAAACGGTTTAGCTGCCCCTGCCCGGACTTGAGCGAGCTCTTAATGCATTATAGTCCTTCACGTCTATTGCGATCATAAAATTCTGGCCAGTTGATACCTAGAATATCAAAATTAACTGCAGGCGGTACATCCTTTTCCTATTTAGCACCTAAACTAATACTTGTCTTTTTGCTGTAAAAATCTTTTTATAAAGTAAACATAAGAATAACATTTATATTGTTAGTAAATATTTCAAGACAATAATTTATTGGACTGAAGCAACTTGAACCATACATAATTTTTCAGAAAAAAATCATGTTAAAATGTGTGTAGCTATCAAATGAAATACAGAGAGTAACATTTATTGGTACATCTCTCAATCATAATTGTATTGCACTGCATTGTATGTTTTGCTCCTAGCAATGAAAACTCCAGAGCTTTGATCATAAAACTAGCATTTAAATGTCATATAAGACATATTACTGGGAGATATAGAGTGACAATTGATATTTATATACATTTTATCTAAGTCTGCCATGCTGTTATAAAGATTTCATTGATTTACATTACAAGGTATCAGAATTTCATCATACTTTTTGTCCGTATAATTATCAGCAATTGCGCCAAATTGCACATTTCTACTCTGAATAAAACTGAGGTGTTTTTTCCTCCTCAAGTATCCTTTTCCCCTCCATATTTTCACATATTGTATAGCAAATAAGCAAAAAAGAGCCTGATCTTCACAAACCATAAAGCACAAATGCAAACTCTCTCTTTCTCTCTCTCTCTTTGGATTTTTTAATCTAATTTTAAGGGTTCAATAAACTGTTCCATTTACAAAACATAAAGCACAAATGCAATCTCTCTCTCTTTAGATTTTCCCCCACATTTTGTTTTTACATTTCTGACTATTATTTCAGACTTTACAGGCCTAATGTATTAATGAATTATAACCTTGTATTCCATTTTACTGGATTACACTGGATTTTTAAATTACAGTGGATATGTTTAATATCAAGATAACAATAGGTTATATAGCCTATGTTATTACCTTGCTTGCACTTTAACAAATGAGTGTGGTCCTGGCTTTTCTACTTTGATGCAAAGTTGTAAACAGAGGACGTTGCAATAATTATATTAATAATATTATTATTAATGTTTTATTAATAATATCATTAATAAAACATTAATAATAATTCGTAAAAAGCAGAGCGGGGTATTAACGTTACCAAAATGTGACAGCGGCACTTTATTGAACGGAACTTTATACCATGGAAAGAATAAAAGTTGTGACTATTGCTTTACTGATTTTATGTGTTTTATTATAACAAGAATATAACCACTTTTCTTATTTAGGAAATATGTGTCACAGTAAAGTTTTGACTCTCGGTTCTCCCTGGCGCTGTCTAGTGCTGAAACAGGACACGCTTCAGGAACATCGAATGTGGCTCTAAATAGGCATAGACCAATGGTCATTAATGAGATGTAAAGAAACCTTTACATACAAATACTGTTTCTCTTCATCTGTTGTTGGTGCAATGTAGGCTATAATAGCACACACAGGTCAGGGTTTCAGAATCGGGGTTTCAACAGGCTGAACAACGAGACATTGCAGCACTACTGCCCTCCTGCGTAACAGCTGCATCAGCACAATAGCTTTCTGACTTTCTCGAGAAATTTCGCTCGTTTTTAATACTGTTTTCCTGCCAACTCAATGTCTTAACAGTCGCTAAAGCGCCCCTTTTAAACGAGGTACACTAGCTTTTCGATTTGGGCAAAACCAGACAAATTTACCATCAAAACAGGCATCAAGGCAACAATATTAACAAATAACAGTCTACATGCGAAAGTGGTTGAATTTGAAAATCCAAATGTAAACACAATATAAGCAAAATAAATAACTTAAATTATATTAATAAAATAAAAATAAATAAACAAATAAATAAAATAAAGTAATAGTACAAATAAATGAACAAATCTGCACAAGGGGCATAGAAAGCTACAGGGCAGTCAATTCATTGAAAAAATTGTAGGCTAATCTTTCTTGAGCACACCAAATTTAACTTGTTTATAGCTAAAGGGTTTTCATGGTTACATGGACGTTAATGCAGGACATTTTGCTGTACAACTGAGACCAGAACAGCTTTAAATAGTTACAGTAAATACAATTAAAAAGTGCTCAGTTGTTTCAGTGTCATTCTCACAATTTAGGCAAACCAATTTGGTGTTGAAATACCACTTCAAAACGTCATCAGATGAATAAATATCTCTGAACAGATACACGTGCCCCCTCTGTTGGTGTACATTGAAACTTCTGTGGGAAGTAGGTTGATGTTGTTTCAAACCTGTATGAGTTTCTTTCTTCTGCTGAACACATGAAAAGAAGATATTCTAAAGAATGTTGGTAACTAGACAGTTGACAGTAGCCTTTGACTTCCATAGTATTTTTTTTTTTTTTTCTACTATGTAACTCAATGCTACCGTCAACTGCTGGTTACCAACATTCTTTAGAATATCTTCTTTTGTGTTCAGCAGAAGAAAGAAACTCAAACAGGTTTGGAATGACATGAGGGTGAGAAAATTATGACAAAATTTCATTTTTGGGTGAACTATCCCTTTAGATGTGTCAATTTATATTAGAATATATTTCTTTAATGGCACTTTATGACATGCTTCATCATGCTTTATTTTGTATATTTCCACATTTGTAAATTTAATTTAGATTAGACCATACATATATTGATATTGTTTATACTGTAAATGTGTTTTAAAGAGAAGAAGAAATGCATGAGAAAATGTACATGAATGACTGAAAAACTCACTTGAATGATTCAATCAAGGGTTGTCAGACAGCCGTTGATGCTTGTATAACTCTATACACCTCCAGAAAATGTTCAAAGAGGGCAGTATTATGTTTTACAGGCTCACAGCATCACTGTTGTCTGAAACTACACTAAAAAGTTATAAATATTTGATGTAATGACTTTCAACAAGCAGAAAGCAATCTCAACAATCAGATATTCATGTTTACTTTAGATTGTTGACTAAGTGAGCTGGAATATTTGTCTTTTGTTGCCATTGTTGTGCATGCAACCGATCGATCACTATTGGTTTTCGAAATAGCAATTATATCACTTACTTCCTTAGAGGCTGTGCTTTTGAGGTCTTGCCACAAACTCTCAAATTCCCTGGACTGCCTAATTCTGGTGCTCCAATAAATCTTTGATCAATGAACCCCCAAGAACCACAAATAAATCAGAATAAATCAGCTGAAATGTGATGGAGATTTTGTGGAGAAACTTTGGAGTTTATGGAGTTCTTTTCATGCCAATCCACAAATTAGGCTGACCCATGTACAACCACAAACACTTATTTTCCTTTTTTCTTCCCCTTTTCTTCCTTTTTAATGTATTTAAAGCACATGCAACTGATTTAAATAGATTATTGAAGCAGTTTTTATGATTGTTTATAGCATAGTTTAAAGTAGTAGCCTATCAATTTTCAGTAATTCAGGTGGTCAATACAACTTTCTACAGAAAGAAACTTGTAACAAAGACCTGGCCTCAAGTATAAATATCTAGGTTATATATTTTACTGTAAAACCACTGCAAGCAGGAACAATAACCCTAAAATATTGTGTTATGGCCTCGTTGGTGTGTGACATAAAAATGGTTTACTGTCCCTTTAAGACTGCGCTATTGTCATTGGTCAATGAGCTACTGTATATCGTGTGCGCTTGTGCAGGTTCATTCTATTCCAGGGGCGAGTGTTATTATAAGGCCTAGAATTTAATGCATCTGCATTGAATGCAATAATACTCTGTAGAATTAGATATCGTAACAAATGTTCATTTGACGCGTTACTTGCAAACAACCCAATCCGGATAAAAATGGCTGAATTACCGATGGGGAAAGTGGTCACCGCAGGGAAAATAGCAAGCAATGTACAGAAAAAAATTACCAGGGCTCAGGAAAAGGTAAGACATTTTAATCATCAGATACATATTTAAATACATCATATCTCTCAACGCTGATATCAGTGTTTTATAGCCTACCTTTCAGCACCATGAAACATTTAAGGCCGTCAGTGTTTCGTCCTCTAACGTGATGTATTAAACGTGCAATGTGTTAGAGTCGAGGCTCATCCATCACTAGCAAAAAGCCTACTAAAGTACGCATTTGCCTGGTAGCCATATATATTTGCTAATATTTTAATACATTTATGGATTTTACTTTGTTGAAGGCGCAATTCTCGCTGTTTATGTCATTGCAGTGGGGCTGCTATATGGAAACAAATAGAAAGCTGCGCCTGTTACATTTGTGGATTCGCTTGAATACCACGAAGATCAGCTCTATGTGTGTTTTAAGCTCAAATCAACCCATTTATCGCCTCTGAACCTTTGCATAGGTGTTTTCGTCCAATAGATGAGCGCGACGGCGATGTCCGATTCGTAAACGAATCGTTCTTTGAATAGAATCTCTTCATTGAATCGGTTCACAAAATAAGTCCGAACGATTCGTGCACGAAGTGGATTGAAGCGGATCTCGAGTCATCAGCACACCGAGAACGATCACTTTCAAACATGTCAGATTTTTAACGAGCCGAAAACTATATGGTATGTTTAGGATTGAATGCCTATTAGTTTCTATTAGCTGAATCATCGCTAGGGCTACTAACTGAACGAATAACAATAAAATCCTCATTAATACAACTCCATTGGGAGAAACGTAATAAACAGCGATATGTGCCTACATATGGCTTTATTGAAATGTTTTAGAACATTTTTACGCAGGGATGACAGGAGCCATGATGACGCACGCAATTACGTTTTTTAAACGGTTCTTCGAACGAACTGTTCGAAAGAACCGATTTGCAGAAATGAGTCAGACTTTTCATTACTACAGTAAACGAGCAGCTGCATCACGCACTGCTGCCCATCGCCCTGGCTTCATCACTGTGATACCTGCGTCCTGACATTTGACAACTCTGTGTAAAATGCTCCAACAGATTTTTAAGACTATTCAAACTCAAATAAAAAAAAAGGCCATCTGGCTTTTCTTGCTATTGATTATATCCTATATAAATGATGTTTGGGTTCTTCGCACCAGCCTTTCTTCTTAGAGACAAGGAAATTAGAGATTTGTGTAAATTTTGGCTGATAAACAAAATTTTCCAGTCAGCCACCATTTTTGAGCAATAGATATGACACTGACAATGTATTTATAATATATAGACAGACAGCATTTATTAAATGAAGTACGTGGTAAAAGTACTTCATCTTTCCAATGAGAGCAGAGTAGGCTCTCGGAAAGAAGGGAATTGGAGAGACCGGATCCTTTATCAAACCATTTCGAGATAATTCAAGATAATGCAGTTTGTTTGTTTTTTAACCTAGTTCTACTCAATGCAAATATGGTATATTTGTATAGAGGTTCTGTTTTGTCATTACACACTGAAGACAACAGTTTCTTAATTTGATTTAAAAAAACAAGCAGTACACAATAAGTGTTTTTCACAATATAAGAAAATGGTCAATAATACATGCAATCATCTTCTCTCAGGTTCTCCAAAAGCTTGGCAAGGCAGATGAGACTAAAGATCTGGCATTTGAAGAGGGTGTGATTAATTTTAACAAACAGCTGGTGAGTGTTTTTCTAATCGTGGTTTTAATTTTTTTTTTTAATTTCTTTATTCTAAAGCAGTATAAGGGGATTCTTTGGTATTATGCCTTTGGTCTATGACTGTGTCTCACTCTAGTGTCATGTGCTCACATAGGTGGAAGGTACCAAACTGCAGAAAGACCTTCGGGCCTATTTGACTGCAGTAAAAAGTGAGATTACCAATTGATAAAATTACACACTTAAAATGAACATAAATTGGATATGTGGTTTTCTTACCCTTGCTGATCCCTTTCTCATGGTTTCCCCCAGCCATGCATGAATCTTCTAGACGTCTGTACGAGTGCCTGGATGACATGTATGAGAATGATTGGTATGGAAGAAAGGATGTGGACTCCATCTGTGAGGTTATTGTTTTATTCTTTTAAGTCCTTTTTTTTAATAAAAATGTATTTACACATTTATAGTAATTCAGGTCATTCATGTCAGGAACTGTGCTGTGAGCAAAGTATACATTTAGACAAAAATCTTTGGAAAGAATAATGCATGTTCTTCTGTTTTTTTATTTTTTAAATCAGATATTTAGGTTAAAAATGAGTAATATTTCTTGGAAAAAGGACTAAAATATTTAAGACTCATCCTGCACAATCCAAAAAAGGAAAATGCCCTTTATCCCCCAATACATCTTCAATTGATTGTCGATAGCAAGTAGCAACTCTTTGCCTAATGACTATTTTAAAAATGGATGTCCTACCTGAACTTTATTTTTCAAAAGAAAATAAGACAGAAAATTGCACTTACTAGGCCATTTCATGAGATCTTTAATGTAAAGAGTAAACCTAATGATGGAGAATGAAATTAAATTCCTTTAACACTTTCATTGAGGGCAGATATGGTGAATGGTATCATGGTACATTTCTTCTTTCCATTTCGTTGCTTTAATATCACACCCGTCATTTCACCATGCTTGCAATACAGAAATGAATGTGTCTTCTTTTCCCAGAAAAGCATTTTTTTAATGCTTTTGATAAATCTCTCATGCTCCTTAAGGATGCAATTATTTGGTTAAAAATGCAGTTAAAGTAGTAGTATTGGGAAATATTATTACAATTTAAAATAACTGTGTGCAATTTGAATATATTATAAAATATAAATGTAAATAAAATAAATAAATAAATAAATAAATAAAAGGAATTTTCAGCAGCCATTCCTCCAGTCTTCAGTGTCACATGACCCTTCAGAAATCATTCTAATATGCTGATTTGTTGCTCAGGTACCATTTCTTATTATTATAAATGTTATAAACAGTTGTACTTGTTTTTAATTTTTCTTTTTTTACTGTCTGTTCGAATCAATTTAATGCATCCTTGCTGAATAAAAAATTTAATTTCTCTTAAAAAAAGTTACCCCGAACATTTGTGTAGTGTAGGTGCATCCATTGTAAATATCTTGCATGTCTACCATTTTTATTTGATTACTTTCTATTTGATTGCTTTCTTTGAAAAGAATATTAGGAGTAAGGAATCAGATGCGGGAGGTAATTCACTTTAAATTAGGTTTAGACCCATCTACATCTCCATTGTTTAGTCTCTAGTTTATAAACATGTAAATAGTTTTTCAGCACAGTAACTGCAAGAAACCACACAAATAGTGATACTAGATTTAGCTTAACTAGTTTTATAACTGATCCAGCTGCTCTGTAGTTGTCTCTATAGATAGTGCTTGTCTGTGCTGATGTGGGGGTGTTCAACTAAATGTATTTAAGATGGTTTTGAACCATTCTGATCTTTTGTGTCTATTGTTGTGTGTATAATAGGATTCAGACCTCCTTTGGACAGACTTCCATCAGAAACTTGTGGATCATGCGCTTATATCCATGGACACCTACCTGGGCCAGTTTCCTGACATCAGAGTATAAGATCCCATGATGATGCTGTGGTTTAGCTAGCATACCATGCTGTGAATTTCCATTTAATATCTGTAAAATTCTTTCTAGGCCCGTATTGCGAAGCGTGACAGGAAGCTGGTGGACTTTGACAGTGCACGGCACACCTTTGCTGGGGTAAACAAAGGCAAGAAAGGAAAGGAGGGGATTAAGATCACCAAGGTATAGTCATTCATTTTTCAAGAATGTTTCAATGGCAAAAAAAATCCAAGGCATTTATTTTTGATTGTTCTCACTTGTTTTGTATATAGCCGGCTTCCTTGCTGGAGAGGGCCGCCCCGGGTTGGGCTCAGGGGATCCTGTCCGCCCATAACGTAGCTCAAACCAGCCTCTCCAGGAGTCAGGTGACACACTATAACTAATGCTACTACATTCTGAGCTGTGAAAAGAGCTAGCCGGTATTTTGATTCCCTCTCCTTCATTCAAGAGGACAATATCGTCTTGCCAGGCCAACACAAATAAGAATCTTGTTCTCGCCTAGTTAGATAAAGGTAAAATGAAATGAAATTCCATGCACATTTAGGCCAAATAAATGACAAATCAAACAGGGTAGGTGAGGCATCATGTTTGATTTAGATGTATTCAGGTCAATCTATTTCAATTAAGAAAGCCTTGTGGGTGAATAAGATTATTGAACTATATGTCATGCTTTGATGTAATATTATGTGTTTATAGGCAGAGGAAGAGCTGGACAGGGCACAGAAGGTGTTTGAAGAAATTAATATAGATTTGCAGGAGGAACTGCCATCTCTGTGGAACAGGTGTGGATTTATTACTGTTTTACTCTCACGGATCTTCTCTGGGTTTTCTGTCACACACATTTGACTACTGGCATTTACTGTCCACATTGCAGCTTAAGCCGCGGTCACGCTAGACTTTGAGCACACAAAATGTCTATGGACACTTCAACTGTCGTGATATGAGGTCACACTCTGGTGTACATCAAATAATAAATCCTGACGTGTTTCCCATTTTTTGTGCCATTTGCATCAGACATTAGCCAACGGTCCATGGGCATGACGTCTGAGACTAGGAAGAACCTGTCTGATCGTCATGGAAAACAACCTATATCAGGACTGCGTTTCACAAAAGCATCGTTAGCCTAAGTAGAACAATTGCCACCAATGGGCTCTACGATCAACTTCGGTTTACGATGCTTTTGGGAAACACAGCCCAGATCATTTTCTTTATTTGAAATTTATTGGCAGATAAATGTAAAATCGAGGAAACCCCAATAATAGACTGGCGTTCAACAACGCATTCAAATAATTGCACAAATGTGCAAATATTGCAATAAGTGGAGTACGTGTCTGTTTTTTTAATGAGTGAGTTTAATTACTAATAGTTAGAGCCTCAAAATAAATTCTGAACATCTTTCACAGATTCAGTGCTATGAACCTTTTTGACATGTTGGATAATACAGTACCTGTACACCTTGCTTCACGGAAATGATGTAGAAGCCTGACGATCTGATTGGCTCTTGCCATTTTTGTGTGCAATATGCACCAGATTGGTTGTAAATGGCCCATGGGTGTACCATCTTAGACTAAGATATGTTGTCATCTTATGGGGGCCTGAAATTGTGTCTGCTCTCTTCCAGTCGTGTTGGCTTTTATGTGAATACATTCCAGAGTGTGGCTGGTCTGGAGGAGAAGTTTCACAGAGAAATGGGAAAAGTAAGGAATCCAGTGCAACACCATTCAATGACAGATCATTATGGTTATGTTTTGTATATAACTTGGTTAACATTTTAATATATTTAATATATAAAATGTAATTTATTCCTGTGATGATTAAGCTGAATTTTCGCCATTATTACTCCAGTCAATGTCACTTGATTCTTCAGAAATCATTCTAATATGCTGATTTGCTGCTCAAGAAACATTTCTTATTATTATCAATGTTGAAACTGCTTAGTATTTTTGTGGAAACTGACACATTTTCTTCAGTATTCTTTGAAAGTTCTCTCTCTCTCTCTCTCTCTCTCTCTCTCTCTCTCTCTCTCTCTCTCTCTCTCTCTCTCTCTCTCTCTCTCTCTCTCTCTCTCTCTCTCTCTCTATATGTATATATATATATATATATATATACTGTATATATATATATATATATATATATATATATAGTAAAAAAGTAATAGTGATAGTAAAATATGAAGAAAAAACTTCTGCATCTTTTTTTCTAACAGATCAATCAGAATCTGAATGATACACTGGATAAATTAGAAAATCAAGATATGTCCAGGTCAGTCAAATTTATATAATGCAATATACATAAAGTTTCATTGAGAAGCACTAAACTGTATTTACAGTACTTTCTTTTTTTACACTTGATGGTTCATTTTTGTCCATTTTGCATCAAAACGGTCTCTAAACTGTGCATATGCAATAATTAGTATTGGTATAATTGCACTCTATACCGTGTATATACAATTAAATTAATGAACAAACCACAACACCACTCTCAGAAAAACAGGTAGCCAAGGGGTGAGGACATCAACAGCCCAGAAGAGGTAACAGCGGTAGCCCTACAGTGCTGTGCGTTTGAGGGTTTGTGTGTGTGTATGTGTGTGTGTCTCTGCATTCCGTCTTTCTTAAGCTTTTTGCGTGCCTTCAAGTGTAGCCATTTCCAGCAACAGTTTTGCATTTTGCAACTATGTGTTTCAGATGATGCCTTCACAGTACGTTTGAGTTCACTGCATGAGCAGAATGATTTTGCACAGGAAGCAACTGCGTCTCAGTCTGCATGAATAAATGTTGCAATTGATACTATTGATTCCAGTGTAGTTACACTATGTCAGTTCTGGCGTGGAAGTATCCCAGATAGACTTTTGGCCACACAGGTCACCTAGGGCTTGTAGTGTGAAGCCCTGGTTCTTGGATGGAGCCGATTGAAAGATGACCTCATGATAGCCATGTGACTGTATTTAGATCATTCTCTGAACTTTTAGCTCCAGTGAAAGAACACAAGATGCCAATCACACTTTGAGCCCAGGAGGACCGCCAGCCATTCCCAAATCTCCGTCTAAGGTACTTTATGCATTTAGAAATCACCATGGTTTTTGTATTTGCAGTGTACGATAATTCTGCTGACACCTGTAAACAATATTGCAGTGATTTCTCATCTCTCTTTTTGTTAGCTTCAGTGACACTGGTCAAACATATTTCTTATTTATGTGCGTTTCCAGCTAAAGCCAGCTGTCCCCCCGCCTCCTAAAGCTACTCCATCAAAGGATCTGAAGCAGGAGAGCATTATTAATCTATTTGGTGAGGCTGCCACTCCGAACATCAGTGTCACTTCGCCAACACAGGTCAGCAGTAATTTCTTCTTTTGTAATCCTCGTCTCCAGGCTAATACTGCTACTTATGATGGTATCATGTGAAGACTAGCTGTCAATTCATGAGTTGGAATTTGAATTGCAGGATGTTGAATTTGAGTTGGAATGACAGGGATTACTAAACTTAAATTCAATACATGTTGATGGTATAAAGAAAATGGGCAACAGCAGGTCACTTATCAGGTGTTCTTTTAAAAAGTTTCCAGCTTGTAGCTTGCTTGATGTGGGGCTCCACTTTGAAGACTTTAGGGTAAATTGGAAATGTTCATCCACCATGGTTGACCTTGATAAAATGAAAGTTATTTTACAACGCAAAGATGCACTAGTCCTCAGCATCTAAGAGACATGCCAGTGGAAAACAAGAAACTTTATTATTATCACATGATTAACCTATAACTGAAATCTCAATATTACAATAAATCAAGGTTGACACAAGTCTCAGTTAAGCACACGTGCTCAGAAAGGGCACAAGTAAACCAATATACTTCAAAAAGGTATCTTCATTATAACTGATAAATAAAATAATGTCTACTTGCCTACTTGCACTGGACACTTCACAACTACCTGCTAATGCACTTGCATTTGCTTAAAGTAGCCATGTTGACTAGATTGGGTGAACAAGGGCAAAACGCACAAGAGACAGTACCTTCAATGCCCTCATAACAAATGTTTTGGAGTAAAGAGTATATTGTACATAATAATTATTAAAAAATGTAGGCCAAGTCAAGTAGAGAGTTGCTAATATCTTTGATATTCAGTCAAACTACAAAGTAGCCAAGAATCTACTTAATTACAGTAACTAATTACATTTACTCAAATACTTTACACCCTTTACACCACTGCAGTATGATGCCCCAGCCACAGCTAATCTGCTGGATATGGATCTGGACTCGCTTCAGGCCGCCACCACCCCAGCCGCACAGGTCTGACAGAATTAAAAGAACTTGAGCTAGTAGATTTAGCGTATAACAGTGTTGTAGTACTCGAGTCCAGAAAAGACCGGACTCAGATTTAAAGATAATATTTTCTGACTAGTCGAGACCAGCTTATTTAAGTCCGAGTCCAGACCAAGTCCAAAAGCTCCAAAAAATATGGTCTTATCCAGACTTAAGTACTATAACACGGCTTATAGTATATTTTATGCATTACAATGTCTGTAACAATGTAAGTATATGTCTGCAATGGAACTTCAGTGTAAATGCCTCTTAAATGGACAAATCTGTTTTGTCCAGTCATTAATTTTGCTTTATCTGTGTGTGTGTGTGTGTGTGTGTGTGTGTGTGCGCGCGCGCATTTTGACAGAATTGGGATCCATGGGAGGTGAGTGTGCTTTTGATTGTTTACTCAAAGTTGTAGTGTATACCAGCATGTATAACCTTTCCTTTTAATTCAGACAGATTCTTAAAGGGTTAGTTCACCCCAAAATTAAAATTCTGTCAGTAATTACTCACCCTCATTTTGTCCCAACCCCGTAAGACTTTCGTTCATCTTCGGAACACAAATTAAGAGATTTTACTACGTGAAATCTCACGGCCCACAGAGAAGGAAATGAATAGTTGAATAAAGTCGTTATTTTTGTTTGTTTTTTGCGCACAAAAAGTATTCTCGTCGCTTGATAAACTTAAGATTGAGCCACTGTAGTCACTCGGACTATTTTAACGATGTCTTTAACTTTTATGTGCCGGCCAGTTTCGATCCCTTTTGAAGCCTATGGAGGAGTGAGACAGCTTTCAGATTTAAAGTAACAACAGGTCGTTTTTTGCTCTCGGGCTCCCCCTACAGTTGGGAAACAGTATTGTCCTCTACTACTGTCGTAAACTGTCATCCTACATGCACGTGCATTTGTTGACAACCATGATAGCCCTGAACACTGTAGGAGGAGGTCACATGCAGGTGTTCTCGCGTGTGTGAAATGTCTTCATCCCAGGTACAGTGGCATATATTTCAGCATGTCATATGAATATAATTTCATGTGTTTTATTTTTTTTATAACGACAAATGATCGCGTTTACAAGCCAGCGTCATTATAGCCTAGTCTATTGGTTACCGTTTTACTGAATCTATATGATACTTCAATGCAATGTTTGAGTGGTTGATAATAACCATATATCGTCAATATTATAATATCAAGCTACCATAAATGAATCTGCAAATTTTACAAATCGATTTGCATTATAGCTTGAGGCAAGACAAATAAACAAATATCACAGACATGTTAGGTATCCTAAAATATGATTTTATTAATAATCTTCCTCCTTTCTTTGTACATGTTGAGTAGACTACACTTTTTAGGTCAAACATTTGCTATTGGCATTTCATCGATTGCAAAGTTCAAATCAGAACGAGAATACTATCGCGATAGCTAACCATCAAAAACTAGAATATCGTTTACTAGCTACCAGATTGATAATTCGCTACTACTCTAGCGAATTAGAGAGGTTAGAGAGAGGCATTCTTTTTTCGATGGGGGGTTTGATGCTCCCTGCACACGCAAGGTCTCTCGCTCGCTTTCTCTCTCTGGCGTCCGCGCGCGTTGCAGCACAGTCTCTGTCTCGCGTGCGCGCTCGCTCTAGATTCCGGGAGATTTGAACTAATTTGCGGTATAACTTGTCGATCACGAGTGGCTCAACAGGTAGAGATCTATAGATAAACTCATCTTTCAGGCATTTGACCGACCGGGTTGACAATTTAGCGTGAGAAACCGGGGGTGTGGCGTGTGAGCGTGTGAAACCAATCAAAAGCGGGTGTCTCTCGGCCAATGCGTGAGAGTTGGCAGCTCTGCAATGTTGATCCTCGTTCTGCCTTTAACGCGATCACTTTCTCTTTTTCTCTTTTTGCTTTGCTCCGATAAAACCTTTGCTTTCTTGTTTTTCTGTGCTGCTTCGGCCATGACTATAACATTTGGCTCGCAAGTCCGATTTTAAGGAAGTGGGGGTGGTGGTGGAAGTGACGTATATGCCGTAAAGCAGTCGAATTTTGTAGTTCTCTTTGTTCGCCGGTTACTACCCGAAACCCGAAGTTTAAAAGTACGATTAAAAACGCTACAGACCCCGTCAGGCTATGGCAGACGTGTCATTCAACCTATTGTAAGTCGATGTACCATCACAAGAGACTTGGAAATATATTATGAAGGCTGAAAAGTTACCTGTTGTTACTTTAATCAAAAATATCTTAATTTGTGTTCCGAAGATGAACGAAAGTCTTACGGGGTTGGAACAACATGAGGGTGAGTAATTACTGACAGAATTTTCATTTTGGGGTGAACTATCCCTTTAGCAGCTTATTTAGCTATTTCTGAAAGCCATATCATTTAGTATATTTAATGGTAAGGGAAATTAATCTGCCTTTGTCAAACAGTTGCGAAACAGCTATTCCATTAAATTTCCTTTCACTCTTAAGCTTTCTTAAGTCTGTCTGTCCTGCTTTAACTGTCCATGATATTAATGTTGCACGTCCCACATCATAGTGTGTTCGGCTGAAGAAATGTGTGTTTTACACTCTCTCTGGCTCCTCATTCTTTCTCCACTCTGGTCATGCTTTACCCGGCTCCCACATGCCCCCTTCCCACCATTCCCCTCACTGCCCTACTTACCCAACCCCCTGCCACATGTAGCATACAGAGAAGGAAGCCGAGGTACCTCAGACATGGGACGATGATGGTCCTCAGACTGTGCACTCTGGCTGGGGTGATGATGGTACCCAGGCTACCTGGGATGATGATGATGGTAGCCAACCTGTGCATGCTCCGGCCACATTCCCCACCTGGAATGATGATGAAGGCTCTCAGCCTGTGCAGGGGAATGACATTGATTCTACCCAGCAGGCCGAGGGGTGGGACGAGGATGGGGCTCAGGTACAAATCTCATAGAGCTAGCTGACAGGAGCTGAGCTGCGCTGTACTGAGGTCCTGCTGCTGTAGGCATCACTGGATGGGAGCAAGAAGATGCTTAGCATGGCAACTGGGAGAATGCTGGTAGCAGCGCTAGTAGTAGTAGTAGTAGTAGTAGTAACTGCTTCAACTGGGCTTGATATGTTATGAGAATAGCTGTGTAATTGGCATCTTTTTGTTCTCTCTTTCAATTCTCGGCTCTCTCTTGGTATTTCTACCTTTCATTCTTCTATATATTGGCCCTCTTCTTCTTTATCTCCTGGTCTTTCCTTTTTGCAGGCCACAGAACAGGCAGTTGTTACAGAACAGGCAGTTGTTACAGAAGAGGCAGTAGCCGAAACTGTAAGTGATGTAAGTGAATAAAATAAAGCACAGCATATGGATTGCAAAATAGTCAAAAGAAAATCTGATAATAAAACCCAAAGCAAGAGACTAAAGGACAAACAGGAATACTATAGGTGACCCAAAATTTGCGGCAGCATACACTACTGTTCAAAGGTTCGCAATTTTATTCGTAAACAAAAATGTATACTTTTATTCAGCAGTGATACATTAAACTGATCAAAAGTGACAGTAAAGACATTTATAATGTTGCAAAATATTTCTGTTTCAAATAACTGCTGTTCTTTTGAACTTTCTATCCATCAAATAATCCTGAAATAAATCATGGTTTCCACCTAAATTTTAAGCAGCAAGACTGTTTTAAACATTGATAATAATAAGAAATGTTTCTTGAGCACCAATTGAGCTTATTAGAATGATTTCCGAAGAATAAATGACAGGGATAAATTGCATTTTAAAGTGTATTTAAATGGAGAACAGTTATTTCAAATTGTAATTTCACAATATTAATGTTTTTGATGAAATAAATGCAGCCTTGGTGAGCCTTCTTTCAAAAATATAAAAAAATCTTTCTGTCAGAGACAGAAAAAAGTGCTCCAACACTTTGGGTGACCCGAGTTCGAGTCCCAGCTCGAGGTCCTTTCCCAGTCCAATTCCCCTTTCTTGTCTCCCATGATTTCCTGTCTGTCCTTCTACTGTCCTATCTAAATTAAAAAAAGCCTGTAAGTATAAAAAAAAAAAAAAAAAAAAAAATTCTTTCCGACCCCAATCTTTTGAACAGTAGTGCATGCTGATAATCAGGTGAGGGCTCCCTCTGGTGGACCGAAGGAGTAGCTGCAGACTCCACCATCTGACCTAAAGACATAAAATGGTACATTAGGGACTCTTAAGCGTGTCAGGCACTAAGTTGAGCACCTTTCTTGTTTGATGGTAATAATTCATATAATGCGATGAAAACTATACATATATGTCTTTGCTTCCAGACTGCAACAGCAGCCACAGAGAGCACAGAGAATGTAGAGATGCCAGAAGCCTTCCTGTTCAAAGTGAGTACAAAATTATGTTTTAATTTAACTAACAATGGTTTGTTAATCAGCATTTTAAGCAGAAGAAGTGAGACATGTATTTGTGTGAATGTAGGTGAAAGCAATGCATGACTACAATGCCAATGACTCGGATGAGTTGGAGATGAAGGCAGGAGATGTGGTGCTGGTAGTGAACTTTGAAAGTCCAGATGAGCAGGTTCGTATAGTTGTTTATTTTGTGATCTCAGTGGTGTTAGTTATGATCACCTAACTGACTTTGTGCGCTTACAGGATGAAGGGTGGTTGATGGGAGTCAAAGAGTCTGACTGGATTCTGCATAAAGATCTTGGGAAAAAGGGAGTCTTTCCTGAAAACTTCACCCAGAGGATGTGAGCGCCTGTGATTAGCTTGATCTGTGACACTGTTTCCCCCTTCTATATTACTCCTTTTTGCTTCCTTTGAAAATGCAGACAAGAAAAACTACCAACAAATGCACCGCCACTTGCAATCTGCTGGTTATGTTTGTGGAAGTTGTTGACAGGTTAGTCAGTGCGTTGTTTTGGGTGTCCTCACTCATATTTGTCATGCTTTAAGTATAAGAAGATTGGATCAACCTTTGACAAAATAAGTGATAGTATTTTTTCTAGCCTTTTCTAATAGAGGGAGTAACATACCCAAAGTAAGTCCTTGCTGTAAATGTTTTTAGACTAGCCACTCTTAACCATTGTCCCGTTTTGAGTGAAAAAGTTTTAAGTCGTATCTCATGAGCTCACAAACTGGTGAGCAAAACATATAGTCTCTAAAGTCTGATACTGAGGACTATTTGAGCTGCATGATATATAATTATGTCACAGGTGGAAACAAACAGTATTTCTTTTCAAATGGTGAATACCCAGCTAACAATGATGTGTTCTAAGAATGTTTTGTTAATGTTCCCATATATATTATATAAACAAAAACTTTTATATTAGATGTGATTAATCGATCTGACAGCACTTATATATATATATATATATATACATATATATATACATGTACACACACACACACACACACACACACACACACACACATATATATATATATATACATATATATATATACATGTACACACACACACACACACACACACACACACACATATATATATATATATATAGAGGGAATGCATTAACGTCACTTCCCCACCGGAACACGCCCCCCTCAGCGGGACTGAGTGGCAGAAGAGCTGCTGCGTGACTGGAGTTAATAGGGGAAACTGCGTTAACGCGAGTAAAACAAACTATTATCAGTTTAAACTAAAAGTTGGACTCGATATAGTGTTCCTTACAACTTATCAAAGATCCAGTGATCCATGGATATTGACATGCAGCCAGGAATCGTGTTTCCTGACATTTATATGTGCCTGATTTCGACGCCGGGGAAATAAATGAAGACAATTTGCCTGTAAACGTTTTATATAAATACAATATAGATAGGTCTAAATCCGAGTGATCACTTACATTAATGTTATACTGTATATCATCATATCGTCCAGCCCTAAAACTTGTATAGTTTTTTGTCAGTGTTTATTTAAAAACATCCAATTATGCAGAATATAGTCTGTTCTGTAGCTTTTTGCAGTCTGTAAAAATATACAGTACCTCAGATTTCTGGTCAAATCTAGTTGTACAGTCAATCGCAAAGCTCTTTCCCGTTTTAGATGTGTTTTGTGTGATTTTCACGGCGTTCACGCTGAAAACAAATGCTGCCGCTCAGTCTTTTTGCCACTTGTGGGCGTGACCGCATTCACTCCGACCGACGGTGACGTCATGCGCATACCCTCTATATACACATATAATAATATATAATATATATATATATATATATATATATATATATATATATATATATATATATATATATATATATATATATATATTATAACCATTTTTTCTTGGTTATGCCAACATTAAGGGAACATTCTGGGAACATTTCATAACATTAAAAAAAAGTAACAAGTATAACATTTAAAAACATTAGATGAATGTCCAACTGAAACGTTTCCGGTAAAAACGCCCCATGAATGATGTAAAAATAAAGTTTTTGTGCTAATGTTTTAGAACATTATTAAATATCAGATAACTTTGAACAAAACATTCTGTTAACGTAAATGGAAGAATGTTTGTTCATAACTTTGAGAGAACTTTCCAGAATGTTAGCCAAAGTTCTGAGAACGTTCCCTGTTAACTGGGTAATTGTTTCCATTTCTTTACGGGAATGGAGTTTGACTGCTCTGTCAAAGATCTACCAGCACCATTTCTGCATGTTTAAATCAGGAACAAACTAAAAAGTACAAATAAATCAGACTAAAATAGTTAAAGGAGTATTATTTCCATCTAATTAAGAAACAAAAACCATATGCACTCGTTCCATATGCAGTTCATGTTGACACTAACAAGGCTGACGTATTTAACCCCAGACTCTTGCTCAGGTTGTATGTTAATGAACCTGTGTGCTGTTTCTGACCCTTAGCTTTACTGTACACGCGATATATCACTGTCCACAGATGTTTTTGATAAAGCCATTTCCGATATTAATATTTGATTAATACTTCACTGTGCAAACGCAGTCATACACATGATTTGTCTCGGTCATTTAGTGAAATTGCGGTTTATATTCCGTGAAGGAGAATTTCTTAACATGTAATGCAATAAGCTCTGCACAGATTTTTAATTCTTTATTAATTGTATTCATAGACGTGTCGGACATTTTGGCAAAGTGTGGATATTATTAATGCTCACTTGTGTGAGTTTTAATAAAGTGCAACATGCAAAAGTGACTCAGAATATGCATAATATGACTTCAGTCCACTTACACTGTATTTATAGTTTTATTTTTGTACATTGTGTGACAAATGCGAGTTAAAATTATTCTATGTGCCATGATCACTGGCTTATAACTGGGGTCTTTCTCAGTGTTGTAAACTCTGGTCTTTTCATGTCTGATCAGAATTGACCATCCACCCCATATAGCAACAAGAGCAGAACAGGTTTAGTGCATCTGAGGTTATAAACTTTGATAAGGACCGAACTTAAGTTGGTATGGCAGAGATATTGATTCTCCAGTCATCTGTTGCGCTGAATAAGAACTTGTTTGCTCTTTGTTTGGTTTGTTTGTTACTCCTGATCTCTCTCTCTAATTGGACGTGTCATGTGACCCAAGCTTTCGGGGGAGTTCTTGCCACGCTTCACCAGTTTTGAAGCAAGTGTGTGTTTGCTTTTTGTACCCTGTACTAAGAAATCAATGTGATCTGTATAGAGACTGATTACTGAGTTATTCAAGCTGCCAATGCATCTTTAATGACCTCTCGCTCAAGCTCTTAATTAAATCGAAAGTCCCCAGAATGAGTGGACAAACACTTCCTCCTCCTGTATTTGAGCGCAGTTACGATATTTGCTAGCGTTGTTGCATTTGTAGCCGTGAACATTGTGTAGTTTTGTTGGGTTTCGTCACTGAAGATACAAATTCTCTGAACATATCTATATCTGTAATTAGTGTGAATGTGAAAGAGGCATGCTTAAATCCATGAGCAGTGTGTCTGTGTGTAGTGACTTGATGTTTTCTTGCTGAGGTGGCCTGGGAAACCAGGGTCACTTTACGCCACTGTAAGCCATGAGTGTATCATTCTACAGTCCTGTATCCTGCTGACTCACCCTATGCTAATAAACATGGATTTAATCCTGTAACTTTTCCACTGTTGTGTCCCCAAGCTGTTCACATTCAAATACACTATGCTGCAAAAAAACTAACCTCCTATTTCTACCTTACATGCTTTAGTATGTCAACACATCAAAATAATAGCACTTCTGTAAGGCTTAAAATGTACTTTAAAGTACAACTTTTATTATTTCCATTATTGTTAAGTGCACTTTTTAAAAGTGTACTTCACTTTGTTAATAAACATAGTGAGTGTACTTGTTTCAAGAACACTTAAAGGGCCTTTTATTTTATTAATAGTATATTAAGTACAGTTTTTTTAAAAGTATACTTTTAAGATTTGAAGGACACTACAAATGCACATTCAATACAATTCTTTCTCACAAGGGTATGTTTAACAGTGGATTTACAGTGGCAAGCATAATCACTCGTTTTCTCCCGAGGTCATATCAGCTTCCCAAACAAAGCTGTTGCAATAATCCATTGTTATTTTAAGTCAATAGGAAGATAATGATTAAAAGAAGTAATGCTGATGAAAAACTGCATGTTGCATAACTGAGTCAAAGGCCATCATATGAGGAGGAAGCGGTAAGACAAGAGGAGAAAGCTAACATTGTAAACAGTGGCGGGCCAAATAGCATTTTAAGGAAAGACGGAGAAGGAAAGAAAGTCAGAAACAATGGTAAGGACTGATAGATGTAAGAAACTGTGTACATGTAAAGAGAAACCTTTGGACCCGGAAAGAGGAATGGAAAGAATAGACGTGGATTGCAGTCCCTCATTATGGCTGAATATTGCCCTTGCTCTGCAAGTAAGTATTTTTTTTTTAATTATATTTCTTTTACAAGTTGATAAAATCATATAACACTAGAGTAGAATTAAAGCATACACTTTTATTCCTGCCTGGATGAACAAAATATGTTTTAAACCTGAAGTCATCCTTGAGTTCTTTTGGCAATTCGAGAACCTACTGTCATATTTGATAAATGCTGACATTTTAAAGTCATGACCTACTACATAAATGTAAAGTTCTCAAAGCAAACTTAGTGAACATAGCAAAAAAAAAAGAAAAAAAAAAAGAGTAAAAGTCTGTTTTCCCCCCCTCTGTCTCCATGCAGCATGTGTTGGTGTTGTCCTCTCTGTGTGCATTGGTTGTGAGTGCACTAATTCAGGACGTAGACAAGGAAAGAATAGTGGCCTATGTGCTCTTTTACTCCGGTATAGCTACACTACTGCAGAGCTGGATTGGATCACGGTATGTGGTTACATTTACCCATGTTGCTTTCCATTTAAGTTTATCAAGTTGTACTAAAGTACAAAACAATCTATAGGATTAAGTCCAAGGTTTCCTCTGTTCTCAGTTTGCCATTGATCCAGGCTCCATCTTTGGACTTTCTGATCCCTGCCCTAGTGCTGCTTTCTGCTCAGTCAGGTCAGAATGGTTCTGGCCAGAATTAAAATGATGTCAAAGACAATCTAATAATCTACCCAATTAAACACACTAACTTCCCCCAATTAAAGCTACAGAAATTATATTTTGTTTGTATATAGCACACTTGTACATTCAAATTCACACATATATATATATATATATATATATATATATATATATAGCCATTACTCCAGTTTTCGTTGTCACGTGATCCTTCAGAAATCATTCTAATATGGTGATTTGATACTCAGTTACTATCAATGTTGGAAATAGTTGTGCTGCAGAATATGTTTTTGGAACCTGTGATACTTTTTTCAGGATGCATTGATGAATAAAAAGTCAAAAAGAACAGCAATTATTTAAAATGGAATCTTTTCTTACAATATAAGTCTTTGCCATCACTTTTTATCAATTTAACACATCCTCGCTAAATAAAAGTATTAATTTATGAAAAAAGATAGAAAAAAAATGACTGACCCCAAACTTTTGAACAGTAGTGTATATTGTTACACAATATTTCTATTTTTAAATAAAGGCTGTTCTTTTGAACTTTTTATTAATCAAAAAATCCAGAAAAAATCATAGGTTATAAAAAATATATATATTAAGTAGCACAACTGTTTCCAACATTGATAATAAATCAGCATTTTAGAATGAGGATCATGCGACACTGAAGGCTGGAGTAATGGCTGATGGAAATTCAGCTTTGCTATAACAGGAATAAATTATATTTTGAAGTATATTCAAATAGAAAACCATTATTTTAAATTGTGATAATATACAATGTACTAATAATTGTAATAATATTCACAATTTTACAGTTTTTTCT